GAGAGAGAGAGAAAGAGAGAGATGGGAGCAGAAAGACAGAATAGACGTAAAAAGAGAGACAGAGTAGGGGGGAGAGACAGAAAAACAAAAGAGAAAGAGAGAGAGGGGAAAGAAAAAAGACATAAAAGAGATGGGGGGGGGCAAAAGAAAAGACATAAAAAGAAAAGAGATGAAGAGAGACAGAGGGTGGGGAGAGAGAAAGACAAAAGAGAGAGAAAGAGAGAGGGGAGCAGAAAGACAGAGAGAAAGGGAGAGAGTTTCTTCCTCCTTCTCTTTCCTTTTTCTCTTCTCTCCCTCTCTGTCTCTCTCCTCACCTTCTTTCTATCTTCCTCTCTCCTCTCTGCGTCTCTCTTTTCTTTCTCTCTTCTCTTTCTCTTCTCTGCCTGGAGGGAGGATAAAGAAGAAGGCCGTAAAAGAGAGAGCGTGATGGAGGGAAAGAGGCAGAGAGGAAGAGAGAGGGAGGTAAAAGGAAAAAAGGCGAGGCATGAAAGAGGGCAGGAGATGGAGAGACGGTGATGGAGGGATGGAGGGATGGATCGATGTAAAGTGTCCTGGAGCTGAAGCGAACGCGCCGGAGTCGATGCAGCGACGAGACACGAGACACAAAACACACAAAACACACAAAAACACACAATCACTAAAATAATACAAATATTCTACCGTTTTTTAAAAGTTTTATTATAATTCTTGTTCAATTTCGGGTTCGTAAATGTGACGATGTTGTGATATTTTCAGATGGAGGCAGGAGACAGTTTTTGTTTGTTTTTTTCCGTATTGATCGTTCAGCACTTTTCATGAATTATGCAAAAGGTAAACGCACAAATGTCGGACGTGATTATTTCGATTAGAGACTAAACGCACGAGCGCTCGGAGCGAATCGACGACACAAATCTGTATTTAACCGACTTTATCGGAGCTGCTCTTCGTCTGTTTTAAATGTGTTTTTATTCGTTTAGACAAACAGACGATTGATTAAACTGTCAGGTCAAGACATGTCTCCACTCTGTCTCTCTCTCCTTTCTCTCCTCTCTTCTGTCTCCACTCTGTCTCTCTCTCCTTTCTCTCCTCTCTTCTGTCTCCACTCTGTCTCTCTCTCCTTTCTCTCCTCTCTGTCTCTCTCTCCTCTCTTCTGTCTCCTCTCTCTCCTCTCTTCTGTCTCCACTCTGTCTCTCTCTCCTTCTCTCTCCTTTCTCTCCTCTCTTCTGTCTCCACTCTGTCTCTCTCTCTCTCTCTCTCTCTCTCTCTCTCTGTCTCTCTCTCTCCTTTCTCTCCTCTCTTCTGTCTCCTCTCTGTCTCTCTCTCCTTTCTCTCCTCTCTTCTGTCTCCTCTCTGTCTCTCTCTCCTTTCTCTCCTCTCTTCTGTCTCCTCTCTGTCTCTCTCTCCTTTCTCTCCTCTCTCTGTCTCTCTTCTGTCTCTCTCTCCTTTCTCTCCTCTCTTCTGTCTCCACTCTGTCTCTCTCTCCTTTCTCTCCTCTCTTCTGTCTCCACTCTGTCTCTCTCTCCTTTCTCTCCTCTCTTCTGTCTCCACTCTGTCTCTCTCTCCTTTCTCTCCTCTCTTCTGTCTCTCTGTCTCTTCTCTCTTTCTCTCTCTCTCTCTCTGTCTCCACTCTGTCTCTCTCTCCCTTCTCTCTCTCTCTTCTGTCTCTCTCTCCTTTCTCTCCTCTCTTCTGTCTCCACTCTGTCTCTCTCTCCTTTCTCTCCTCTCTTCTGTCTCTCTCTCTCTCTCTCTTCTCTCCTCTCTTCTGTCTCTCTCTCTCTCTCTCTCTTCTGTCTCTCTCCTCTCTTCTGTCTCTCTTTTTCTCTTTTCTCTCTCCTCTCTTTCTCTCCTCTCTTCTGTCTCTCTCTCCTTTCTCTCCCCTCTTCTGTCTCCTCTCTGTCTCTCTCTCCTTTCTCTCCTCTCTTCTGTCTCTCCTGTCTCTCTCTCCTTTCTCTCCTCTCTTCTCTCTCTCTCTCCTCTCTTCTGTCTCTCTCTCTCTCTTTTCTCTCCTCTCTTCTGTCTCTCTCTCCTTTCTCTCCTCTCTTCTGTCTCCACTCTGTCTCTCTCTCCTTTCTCTCCTCTCTTCTGTCTCTCTCTCCTTTCTCTCCTCTCTTCTGTCTCCACTCTGTCTCTCTCTCCTTTCTCTCCTCTCTCTGTCTCTCTCTCCTTTCTCTCCTCTCTTCTGTCTCTCTCTCCTTTCTCTCCTCTCTTCTCCTCTCTCTCTCTTTCTTCCCTCTTCTGTCTCCACTCTGTCTCTCTCTCCTTTCTCTCCTCTCTTCTGTCTCTCTCTGTCTCTCTCTCCTTTCTCTCCTCTCTTCTGTCTCCTCTCTTCTCTCTCTCCTCTCTTCTGTCTCCACTCTGTCTCTCTCTCCTTTCTCTCCTCTCTTCTGTCTCCTCTGTCTCTCTCTCCTTTCTCTCCTCTCTTCTGTCTCCTCTCTGTCTCTCTCTCTTTCCTTAGTCTCTTCTCTTTATCTGTCTCTCTCCTCCTCTTCTTTTTTTCTCCGTCTTCTGTCTCTTCTCTGCCCCTCTTTCTCTTCTTTCTTCCCGTCTCTCTCATTTTCCTCTGCCTCTTCTCTCTCCCTCATTTCTCTCTCTCGTTCTCTCTCCTTTCCCTCTCTTTTCTTTCGCTCTCCCTTGTCCCTCTTTTCTCTCTCTCTCTTTCTCTCTCCTGTCTGCCTTTCTCCTCTCTCTCTCCCCTCTCTCGTTCTCTTCTTCCCTCTCTCTCTCTTTCTTCCGTGTCTTCTCTCCCTCTTTTCTCTCCCTCTCCTCCTCTCTCCTGTCTCCCTTTCTTTCTCTCTCTCTCCCTCTCTCTTTCTCTCTCTCTCCCACCTCTTCCCCCTTCTCTCTCTCTCTTCTTTCGCGCTCTCTCCTCCCTCTTTTCTCTCTTGCCTCTCTCTCTTTTCTTTCTCCCTGTCTGTGTCTTCCTCTTTCTTTCTCTCTCTCCTCCCTCTTTTCTCTCTCTTTCGTCTGTCTCCTGTCTCCCTTTCTTCTTCTCTCTCTTTTTCTCTCTCCTCCCCTCCTTTCTGTAGCTCTCTTTTCTCTGCCTCTTTCTCTCTCTCTTCCCTCTGCCTTTTCTCTTCCTCTATTTCTTTCTCTCTCCCTCTCTCCTTCTCTCTCCTCCCTTCTCTCTTTCATCTGTCACTGTCTTCTCCCTCTTTTCTCTCTCTTTCATGTGACCCCTCTCTCCCTCTTTTTCTCTCTCTCTTTCGCTCCCCCGTCTCCTCTCTGTTGCTCCCTCTTCTCCCTCTTTTCTCTTGCTCTCCTTTCTCTCTCCCTCTCTCCTGTCTCTTCCTCTCTTTCTTTCTGCTCTCTCTTCTCTCTCTCTTCTTTCTCCCTCTAACTTTCTTTTCCCCCTGTCTCCTCTCTGTTTCTCTCTTTTCTCTCCCTCATCTTTCGCTTTCTACTTCTCTTTCCTGTCTCCTCCCTGCCTCCCTCTCTATCTTCTTTCTCTCTCTCTCTCTCTTTCCTCTGTCTCTTCTCTTCCTCACTTTCTCTCTGTGTCTCTCCACCCTTCCTTTCTATGTCCCTCTCTCTCCTCCCCCTTTCTCTCTCCACTCTTTTGCTCTCTCTCTTTTCTGTCTGTTGTTTTCTCTCCGTCTCTCTCTTCTTTCCTTTGTCTCTTCTCTTTCTTTCTCTCTCCTCCCCTCCTTTCTGTCCCCCTTTCTCTTTCCCCTCTGTCTCTCTCTTTTCTCTCTCTTTTTCTCTCTCCCACTTTCTCCCGTCTCCCTCATCATATCTTTCTCTCTCTCTCTCTCCCTCTCTCCTCTCCTTCTCCTCTCTCTCTGTTCCTCTCTTTTCTCTCCCTCATCTCTCTCTTTCTACTTCTCTTTCCTGTCTCTTCCTTGCCTCTTTCTCTGTCTCCTTTCTCCCTCTCTCTCTTTCCTTTGTCTCTTCTCTCTTCTCTCTTCTCTCTCTCTTCCTCTGAGCAGGAGTCTGATGTTAAACTCAGTGTGTTTGTTCTGTTTTGTGTTTGTGTTTGTGCAGAACATCGGTGCATAGAATCGGCCAAGATCCGGAACAAATACCCCGACCGAGTCCCAGTGAGTATCACAACAACATCTGGATTTACCATTAAAACAAACAAAAAACTCACACAAACATCTGGAATTACCATTATGATCAAACTCATCAGGACTTATGTTTTCACTAGAGATGTAACAATAACTGAAATATTGACAAAGTTCTCACAGTAACATCGTGGACCATCACAATATTACGAATTACAAGTCTCTGCTTAAATTAAGAGTTTTGGTGCAGCAACAGCTAAAAAAAGACAGAGAGAACTACATAGACCATGATCCTTTGCTCCATTTCAGTGCAGACGACAAGAAGAAATAACAGTTCTAGCACTTTTGAGTCTTAGTTCTTTGGATTAAGGCTGTTTTCACACCGACAGTATTTGGTGCACCAAACGGTCCATTCAAACCAAAAGTGGTTAGTTTGGTTCGTTTGCGTTGGTGTGAAAGCGTCAATCGGACTCGAACCCGAACCAAATCAAGCGGACCGAGACCTCAAAAAAGAGGTGGTCTCGGTTCGCTTGAATCCACCAAATGACCAACTTTGGTGCGGTTCCTCTGGTGTGAACGCGAACCCGGGTCCAAACCATAGACAGTATGGACAAACGGACTATTCGAAATGCATCATGGGAGGGACACGCGTCTCCTCTGCCTGAAGTGACGCTGTACGACTCCAGCGCAGTAACAGATTGTTGTCCAGACGCAGACGCGATTCATTTTCGAATTATTTTACCAACAATGGCCAATACAGAGAATGTAACACACGAAGATCAGAGCAAGTATCAGTGTGCGAACGTGTGGCTCCAGAGTGAGTCAAAATTGGGGGTGCGTCCCCCTGTTCGGGACCTACACGCACAGAGACGACCCGGTGTTCCCCCGTGATCACACAGCAACCAACATTTGTTATTTTAGGCTTTAATTAACCAAATAATTTCATGGCAATAGGCAATCGCCCATTCAATTGATACAACTTAAAAAAGTCCCTGTTTTTAGCCTAGTAGTGTGAGAAATACAGTTGGACTAGATCCAAACCAGAGTCCTGAACCAGCGGGGGCAGCTCCGGTTCAGGCCGGGCTCAGAGGAGCTGGAGCGGGGAGCCTCGACCTGAGGAAGCACTTTCCCCGGGAAGAACCAAATGCGCGGAGGACGGACGCTCAGAACAACATATAACAAACCAAACTGGACTCACGCTTCTGTCCGGATGCTGCACCACCTCGGAACCAGCCGCGGTTCTTGAGCGCGGAGAACCGGAGCAGCGCCCGGACCTGTAGTCCACAGCACATTCTTGCTTTTCCCGCACGGAAACAGCGCGCAGACGACGGAACGTACCCGCTCGGACTCAGTCCATCAAGCACTGGTCTTTCTCGCCACCGTTTGGAATCAGCACATGGAGGATGAAGCCTCCGGACCATCTGACCAACGAAGCTTGTAACAGACCAAGGACCAGACCCCAGCCCCGTCCTGAGGAGCTGTTGGCTGCTGCTGTTACCCGAACTCTGGGCTGTTGCAGTGAGTTTGTACAAAGTTCTACATGTTGCTGTTGTATGAGTTCATGGTGATAATTTGAGATGAGGACGGCCCGTGGTTTTAACAGGAACATCGGTGTTGATAACTGGAGTATCGCTGTTTTACCGGGGAAACAGAGACACGTGAATCAAACCAGTTTTGGTTCGTTTGCCGGTGTGAACGCGGACACACTGGAGTGTATCTGCTACATAATAACAATTTTATTGCCTGGTGCGAACCAAATAATCGAACTAGCGGTGTGAAAACGACCTAAGTCTTGTCAAGGCATTTTAAGAGGAAAAAGTAGAATATTAACACTTCTGTTAAGCCTCAACAAAATAAATATCACAATAAATATACTGTGAGATGTATATTATGAAAATATCTTATCGAGAGATTTGGATATTGGTACATCTCTATTCGTGAGCTTTGCCACGATATCACAATAAATATCGTATCGTGAGGTTCATACCGTGACGATATCGTATCATGAGACTTGGATATTGTTACACCTGTAGTATTTACTATTAAGTATAATAAAACTCATCATGACTCATGTATTTACTATTATAATAAAACTCATCATGACTCATGTAAAACTCATCATGACTCATGTGTTATATAACTATAATAAAACTCATCTTGACTTATTTATTTATTTTCTATTATGATAAAACTCATTGTGACTTTTGTATGTATTTATAATTACAATAAAACTCATATTGACTTATTTATTTATTTATTATTATAATAAAACTCATCATGACTTTTGTATTTATTTACTATTATGATAAAACTCATCTTGACTCATGTACATTCTGTGTTGTAGCACAGAATGTCGGTCTTCGTCTACATCAGACACGTCAAACTCAGGCCCAGGGGACAAATTTGGCCCGCAATATAATTATATTTGGCCCTCAAGATGATATCATATCTGTGTTAGAGCTGCCCGCCGGCTACAGATAGACTATTACAGAGACATTATTTATTTAAAATGTTGTTATTATTTTATATTTTGCTTGTTCTGGATTTAATGTTTAAGCAAAACTATTATTCAAACATTTATTTTAATAAGAAAAGGTTTAACATTACATATTTTAAAAGAAGAGAAAACATGCAGATGTTGTTGAAATTTTTCAATTAAATATTTAGTTTGACTTAGTCCCAGTTTTTAATTTTGGCCTGTGTGAGTCTGAGTTTGACTCTCCTGCTCTACATTCATCTCGACGCTTTGTTTACTTTTGTGCTGTACGACAAAAGGGACACAGACCGACGCGACGAGTTTGACGTCATGACTACACAGCTCTTGTGTTTATTTGTCAGGTGATACTGAGTTAGATTTTGTTCTTTTTTAAATTCTGATCCCTTTATATTTGTCAGGTTTTCGTGGAGAAGTTTTTGAGCTGTCTTTAATCCTGTTTTCTTGTATATTTGTCAGGTGATCGAGGAGAAGATTCTCTGCTCTTTTTGACTTATTTTCTTTTATATTTCTCAGGTTTCGTGGAGGTTTCAAGCTCGATTTAACCTTATTTTCCTTGTATATTTAACAGGTGATATTGAGTTAGGTTTTGCACCTTTTTAAACTCTCGTTCCTGTATATTTTTCAGGTGTTCGTGAAGATGGTTTTGTGCTCTTTTAACTTGCTTTCTTGTGTATTTCTCAGGTGATCAAGGAGAAGATTTTGGAGCACTTTTTAATCTTGTTTTCTTGCATATTTTTCAGGTTTTCGTGGAGAAGGTTTTGTCCCTTTTAAACTTGTTTCCTTGTGTATTTCTTAGGTTATTGTGAGTTAGATTTTGAGCTTCTTTAACTTGTTTTCTTGTATATTTGTCAGATGATACTGAAGAAGGTTTTGAGCTCATTTTAACCTTATTTCCTTGTATATTTCTCAGGTTTTCGTGGAGGTTTTGAACTCTTTTTAACTTCATTTTCTTGTATATTTCTCAGGTGATAGTGAGTTAGGTTTTGTTCCTTTTTAAACTCTTCGTCCCTGTATATTTGTCAGGTTTCGTGGAGGTTTTTGAGTTCGTTTCAGTCTTATTTCCTCGTGTATTTGTCAGGTGATCGTGGAGAAGGTGTGTGGCTCTCAGATCGTTGACATCGACAAGAGGAAGTACCTGGTCCCGTCTGACATCACTGTGGCTCAGTTCATGTGGATCATCAGGAAGAGGATCCAGCTCCCGTCGGAAAAGGCCATCTTCCTGTTCGTGGACAAGACAGTGCCCCAGTCCAGGTAATACCACCAAAAAACACACACACACACACGATTTTAAAGAAGACCTAGAGTGCTTGTGTGTGCTCTAAAGTTATAATTTATGATGCTTGTGGATTATTTTGTTATAATTTGGACATTTTAAATCACAATATTCATCTAAAACCACTTGAGATCACTGAGAATTTGCCCGATTTTGGCTGCGATTTGCTTCTCGCCGAGTTTGAGGAGGCGTGACCCGACTCTGTGTCTTCGTGTGCGATTTTGAAGCCGCTGCTCCTCGTGTTTGTGTGTCAGAACATAATGTCAAACATTAAAGGTTGTATGGAGGATTTTTGTTTTGTTTTTTTTGTTTCAAGTTGTCAATGATAGCATTATACAGATGCAGTAGCCTTGTAATTATGATGACCAAAAAAAAGAGAATAAAAATTCATCAACTCTGGACGTGGTGGGGCTAAACATTTGCCAATAGATAACGACACTGCCTCGTTATCTGTTAGCTGACAGGCTGTCAATCAATCTCCCTACGTTTCTAGCGTAACTGACTTGCCTGCGCCGCCGGTACGTGGTTTACGTACGACTGTCACGCAGTCCACAGACGCAAGATGCACAGACGCTGTTTACTCCACCAACGCAACAGTTCTTAGAGGCTTTTTTTGACCTATATCTTCCTCACAGTTCGCACAAAGTTTGTTGCAATGGCGACAAGAATCCAGGAGCAGTTCGCCGCAAAAGAAAGTCCGTTTTTGAGGTCGCTGAAAGAAGAAGACAAGAGGAAAAGCAGCGAAGCTAAACTAAGGTGATTCTTGAAGATTCATTCCAGCGATGGCGCGACTGAAGCAGACGAAGGGTCTAAAGACTGACACACTGGTCCACAAATTACTCCTGGACAGGAAACTTCTGCTTATTATGAAAAACGTACTTTATTTCCAAGAGCTAGACAAACGTTTTTCAGGACACGAAAGCGATATCCTATGTCTGAAAACGTCATTTTCAAGACAAAAGAAAGAGTCCACTTGCTGCTGCGTGTTGTAGCTAGTTCATTCGCATGGAATCTCCGCGCAACCTTCTCTGCACCCCTTTCCTGCTCCTCTCCCCGCTGCCCGATCCACTCTTCTCCCTGCTCCTCACTTCTCCGGGCACGGAATCTCTGCGCACCGCTCCCCTCTCTCCTCTCCTCTCTCCTCTCCTCTCTCCCTGCTCCGCTCTTCTCCCTGCTCCTCACTTCTCGTCCGCGAACGAAATGTCCGCACACCCGCTCCCCCCGCTCCTCACTTCTCCGTCTTGCCTAACCAACACTGTAGTTAGTTGTTTACAAGTCATGTGCAGCACCGGCTGTAAACAAACCTGTTTCTGGCGTAAAGAGGAGGTGGGAGAAGGCGTTTCTACGTAGGAGCTGTAGGGGAGGGGGGGGGGTTTCACGCATGCGCAACATTTGAAAACGGACAAACAGTCGCTGGATTTCTCGTTCCTTGGAAAATCCTCTATACAACCTTTAACAACGCTACGATAACAGACGATAAAACAGAACGTCGGGGCAGAGGAGTGACGGACACAGAGACGCAAGTGGGGCTGTCGCAATAACCGCAAAAATGAATCAGAAGTGACCAACGCGAGTCCTGCATGGGTCCATTTTTGGAGACCAGCACCCGCCCGGACCCATTAATGTTCCCCTCCCGTGCCCGAGATAAATCACACACAAATTAAAAGCTTTCTAACCGAAGCATCCGTCAGAATACGAATTGAAAAGTTACGACTTGAAGAATTACAATCGCGAAATGAAATGAAACGGTTTCGCTTTCTTCAGAACGAACACGAACTCACAGACGCGACTCGACTGTCGAAAATATATCATCACTTCACAGGATTTATTTACCGAGCGGAAGAAACACTGATCGAGATGCCGGACTTTTGCGCCGAACCAGGACTGAACCAGGACTGAACCAGGACTAAACCAGGACTAAACCAGGACTGAACCAGGACTAAACCAGGACTAAACCAGGACTAAACCAGGACTAAACCAGGACTGAACCAGGACTAAACCAGGACTAAACCAGGACTGAACCAGGACTAAACCAGGACTGAACCAGGACTAAACCAGGACTGAACCAGGACTAAACCAGGACTAAACCAGGACTAAACCAGGACTAAACCAGGACTGAACCAGGACTAAACCAGGACTAAACCAGGACTGAACCAGGACTAAGGACTAAACCAGGACTAAACCAGGACTAAACCAGGACTGAACCAGGAACCAGGACTAAACCAGGACTAAACCAGGACTGAACCAGGACTCCAGGACTAACCAGGACTAAACCAGGACTAGGACAACCAGGACTAAACCAGGACTGACCCAGGACTAAACCAGGACTAAACCAGGACCTAACCAGGACTTAAACCAGGACTAAACCAGGACTAAACCAGGACTCAGGAAACCAGGACTAAACCAGGACTGAACCAGGACTAAACCAGGACTAAACCCAGGACTGAACCCAGGACTAAACCAGGACTTGATTAAACCAGGACTAAACCAGGACTAAACCAGGACTAAACCAGGATTTAAACCAGGACTAAAAACTAAACCAGGAACTAAACCAGGATTAAACCAGGACTAAACCAGGACCAGGACTAAACCAGGATTAAACCAGGACTAAACCAGGACTAAACCAGGATTGACCCAGGACAAAGTCAGGAAATAGCGAAAATAATGAAGAGCAATTTATGTTTTTTTCTTCTTCATTTCGCACTTTTTGGCTGGTGCGACTTATACTCCAGAGCGATTTATAGTCCAAAAAATACTGTACTCAAATCAGTGTAACATTGTTAATTCAAGTCATTTTCACTATTTGCGGTGGAAAATGACAAGTTTGACAGCGACAATTACAGAACGTTTTTTCAATAGAAAGTGAACTGGAGCCAGAAGCGCGTCCGTGCTCACTTCCTGTTTGGAACATGGCGGCCTGCAGGTTTATATTTACAGTCTGAGGTTAAAACTAAAATTCTGAGATTGAGACGTCTTTACTCGCAGCTTCGGCTCAGCGTTCTCCCCCCGAATGTTTTTCCGTTTTTTTTCCCGTCCGTTTCCAGGCACAGATCGCTCCCGTGTGTTTACGTAACAGATATTTGGTTTAGTTATTGACAGAGCTCCGCCTCCACTCATTCACCAAAAGGACACGAGGTCAAGTAAACACCACGAAATGAGAAATCTGAGTAAACACGACGTCTTCAAACATTTTACAAAATATTTATCTTGGACCGACCTGGAAAAACACACGACAAACGAGTATTCACATGAGAAGAAATGACCTGAGTATTTTTTTGATAGTAGCTGGTCTTTATATCGACGTGTTTTTTAGTGTCAAGTAAATAAATAATTTACCAGAGAACTTTATGTACAATGAGAAACATCGTGGACAGAAATAAATATTATAACAGGTTCAATAATCTTCTGTGGCCTATTAAGTCAATAAGTCCAGATAAATACAGTAGTCCTGGTTTAGTCCTGGTTTAGTCCTGGTTTAGACCTGGTTCAGCTCTGGTTTAGTCCTGGTTTAGTCCTGGTTTAGTCCTGGTTTAGACCTGGTTTAGTCCTCGTTTTTAGTCCTGGTTTAGACCTGGTTTAGTCCTGGTTTAGTCCTGGTTTAGTCCTGGTTTAGACCTGGTTTAGTCCTGGTTTAGTCCTGGTTTAGTCCTGGTTTAGTCCTGGTTTAGACCTGGTTTAGTCCTGGTTTAGTCCTGGTTTAGTCCTGGTTTAGTCCTGGTTTAGACTGGTTTAGTCCTGGTTTAGACCTGGTTTAGTCTGGTTTAGACCTGTCCTGTTTAGTGGTTAGTCCTGGTTTAGTCCTGGTTTAGTCCTGTTTAGTCCTGTTTTAGTCCTGGTTTAGACCTGGTTTAGTCCTGGTTTAGTCCTGGTTTAGTCCTGGTTTTAGTCCTGGTTTAGACCTGGTTTAGTCCTGGTTTAGTCCTGGTTTAGTCCTGTTTAGTCCTGTTTAGTCCTGGTTTAGACCTGGTTTAGTCCTGGTTTAGTCCTGGTTTTTGTTTAGTCCTTTAGTCCTGGTTTAGTCCTGTTTTAGTCCTGTCTGTTTAGTCTGGTTTAACCTGGTTTAATCCTGGTTTAGTCCTGGTTTAGTCCTGCTTTAGTCCTGGTTTAGTCCTGGTTTAATCCTGGTTTAGACCTGGTTTAGTCCTGGTTTAGTCCTGCTTTAGTCCTGGTTTTGACCTAGTTTAGTCCTGGTGTAGTCCTGGTTTAGACCTGGTTTAATTCCTGGTTTAGTCCTGGTTTAGTCAGACATCGACCGGCATCGCAGTCACAGAAGTCACGTAAACGGGAAACGGTCGTTATCCGTTTTTTCCATTCTTCATTTAAACACAAAATTGAAAAACTGAAAAAACGAATCGTTATCCGTTTTTTCATTTTGGTTTTGGAGACAAATAGCGAAGAAAACTGTTGTTTTTTCGTTTTCTTATTTTTGGTTTTATATTGAAAAATGAACGAACGAATGATACACGGATTGTCTTCACTTCCTGCCCTCCACCTGAAATTCGCGCATCATTGTGACTGAAACCCTCCTCTTGTCTCTGTCAGAGTTTCATCTTGTGTCGTGTCATGGCAGTTTAGTTTCGAGTTTTGGATTTTTTTGGATTTGTTATTAAATACTTTAAAGCAGTTTTGCGTTTTGGGTCGTCCTTCTGTTTCCACATGACAGTTTAATAGAGTTTGGTGTTAGAAGCACTTTTTACTTAAGGCCAGTTAATAAGCAGCGATAACGTGTCCTACCACAATTATGCAGACGACACTCAGATCTACGTCTCTCTGGCAGCAGGAGACGATGGACCAGTGGACTCACTTTGTCACTGCGTCCAACAGATCAGTGTGTGGATGCAAAACAACTTTCTCCAGCTAAACTCTGACAAGACTGAAGTCATAGTGTTTGGTCCACAGAAACAAAGGGACAGTGTCAGCATCACCTCCAGTCTCTCTCTCTAAAACCTTCAAATCAGGCAAGAAATCTCGGGGTAATAATGGACTCAGACTTGAACTTTAACAGCCACATCAAATCAATAACATCTGCAGCCTTTTACCATCTAAAAAACATAGCAAAAATCAAAGGTTTACTGTCTAAATCAGACTTGGAGAAACGTATCCATGTGTTTGTCTCCAGTAGGTTTGATACTGTAATGGTCAGGACTGGGTATCGTTAAGAAGTTGTCGATACGATACATACCTTGATACACAGGCCATAATACAATACGCTTTTCGATACAGTGCACTTTTGATTCAATACGATTCAATACAATTACAATTACAATACGATATATTTCAAATCGATTCGATACGGTTCAATGAAAAACAAAGGCTAAATCATGGCTGTGAAACTAAAAGTCCAATAAGTCAACTGAATTAGTGCAAAGTTAATAGGAAAAACACCCATTTTACTCAAAACAGCGAAAATCTCAACACAGTCGTAGCTCTTAAACAAAATAATTTAGTAAAATATACCTAAAATACTCTCAGCAATATCTCGATACAGCGGTCCACGATATCGATACTGTATCATCAAAGTAAGCGATACGATATATCGATATTTCTATATTTTTCCACACCCCTAGTAATGTTCTGCTCACTGGTTTCTCCAAACGAGAGCTGTGAGACAGAACATACATCCAGAACATACAGAACATCCAGAACATCCAGAACATCCAGAACATCCAGAACATCCAGAACACACAACATCCAGAACATACAGAACATACAGAACAGAACATACAGAACATCCAGAACATCCAGAACATCCAGAACATACAGAACATCCAGAACATACAGAACATACAGAACATACAGAACATACAGAACATCCAGAACATCCAGAACATCCAGAACATCCAGAACATCCAGAACATCCAGAACATCCAGAACATCCAGAACATCCACAACATCCAGAACATCCAGAACATCCAGAACATACAGAACATACAGAACATCCAGAACATCCAGAACATCCAGAACATCCAGAACATCCAGAACATCCAGAACATACAGAACATCCAGAACATCCAGAACATCCAGAACATCCAGAACATCCAGAACATCCAGAACATCCAGAACATCCACAACATCCAGAACATCCAGAACATCCAGAACATCCAGAACATCCAGAACGCTGCAGCTCGGGTCCTGACTCGAACTAGGAAGTACGAGCACATAAGTCCTGGTCTCAGGTCTCTGCTCTGGCTCCTGTGGCTCAGACACTTTAAAGCAGCTCTGCTTGTACAAGTGTCTCCATGACCGAGCACCAAAGTCCATCTGTGACATGTTAGTGTCATATGAACATCTCACACTCTGAGGAGCTCAGGGACCAACTCCTGCTGGTGCCCAGAGTCACGACTAAACAAGGGGAGTCAGAGTTTCAGGTTCATGCAGCTAAAACCTGGAACAGTCTGAACATGTGAGACAGACTCTTCTGTGACGCTGTTTAAATCCAGACTCAAAACATTTCTGTTTAACTGTGCAAATAACTGAAAGGTTTTCATTCCGCACTCTTCTCTCCAATTTATGTCTCTCTTTTTTAATTTTAATCTTCATGATTATTTATGTTTTGATTTGTTTTTATTATGATTTTAATGTATTTCTTATTCTGTAAAGCACTTTGAATTACTTTGTGTACGAATTGTGCTGTACAAATAAACTTGCCTTGCCTTACTTCAGCCTAAACCCTTTCGGTCATGATCCATGGGTTTGTAGTTTATGTTTTGTTTTGTTTTGTAGTGCTGCAAAATGACTGAGTAAAAAACTAAAACTGTTTGTCTTCCTCTTGTGCGTCCGCAGTATCACGATGGGGCAGCTCTACGAGAAGGAGAAGGACGAGGACGGATTTTTATACGTGGCGTACAGCGGAGAAAACACTTTTGGATTTTAAACGACGACGACGACGACGACAACAACAAGACGCCATTTTGTTTCTCCTCCCTCTTCCCCTCCACTTCTCCCTCCATCCCTCCCTCCATCCCACAAAGCCCCAACCAAAACCAGGCCTGGATGGTTCCCCCCGAAGGCTTAAGACTGAGCGCGACTGCCCTGTTTGCACCGTTGTAGTTGTCTATAGTCAGTTTGATTGCGTTTGTGAGTTTTTGTGAAAATATATACAGCGTTTTAGAAAGATTTGTTTTTCACAGTTTTGATTTTTCGCTTCAGTTGTGGTTTGAAAACGATATTTAAAGGGTTTTAATTTAAATACTTGAAGGTTGAGGTAGCTGGATGACCTAACCAATAAAAATGAACATTACACTGCCTGTGGAGTTCTGTTTTCTGTCTCGTTTAAGTCTCTCTTTAGGACCTGGTTTAGACCTGGTTTAGTTCTGGTTTAGACCTGGTTTAGACCTGGTTTAGTCCTGGTTTAGTCCTGGTTTACCTGGTTTAGACCTGGTTTAGACCTGGTTTAGTCCTGGTTTAGTCCTGGTTTAGACCTGGTTTAGTCTTGGTTTAGTCCTGGATAAGTATTGTTTTAGAAATCTTTACAACCTCATTTAGACCTGGTTTAGTTCTGGTTTAGTCCTGAGTTAGTATTGCTATTTTGGATATGTTTTAGGTTCTTATTTATACCTATTTTTAGACCTTATTTAGACCTGGTTTAGATCTGGTTTAGACCTGGATTTAGACCTGGTTTAGACCTGGATTAGACCTGGTTTAGACCTGGATTGGACCTGGTTTAGACCTGGTTTAGACCTGCATCTTCCTTAGACCAAATCACTTTAGTCTTGGTCTGGATTTCTCATAGTCCTCTCTTAGACCTGGTTTAGTCCTGGTTTAGTCCTGGTTTAGACCTGGATTTAGATCTGGTTTAGTCCTGGTTTAGACCTGGATTTAGATCTGGTTTAGTCCTGGTTTAGACCTGGTTTAGACCTGGATTGGACCTGGTTTAGACCTGGTTTAGATCTGCTTCTTCCTTTCTACCAAGTTATTTTAGTCTTGGTCTGGATTTCTCATAGTCCTCTCTTAGACCTGGTTTAGTTCTGGTTTAGTCCTGAGTTAGTAGTGTTATTTTAGATATGTTGTAGGTCCTATTTTTAGACCTGGTTTAGACCTGGTTCAGACCTGGTTCAGACCTGCGTCTTCCTTAGACCATAGTCCTCTCTTAGACTCGATTTAGTTCTGGTTTAGTCCTGGACAAGTATTGTTTTAGAAATCTGAACTTTTTTCAGACCTGGTTTAGTCCTGATTTAGACCTGGTTTAGACCTGGTTTAGACCTGGTTTAGGGCTGGATTAGACCTGCATCTTCCTTTGACTGAGTTTCTTTAGTCTTGGTTTGGATTTTTCATAGTCCTCTCTTAGACCTGGTTTAGACCTGGGTTAGTCCTTATTTAGACCTGGTTTAGACCTGGTTTTGTCCTGGTAAAAACCTGCATCCTTCTTAGACCAGGTTTCTTTAGTCTGGATTTTTCGTAGTCCTCTCTAAGACCTGGTTTAGTTCTGGTTTATTCCAGAGTTCGTAATGTTATTTTAGATATGTAATAGGTCCTTATTTATACCTATTTTTAGACCTGGTTTAGACCTGGTTTAGACCTTGTTTAGACCTGGTTTAGACCTGGTATAGACCTGGTTTAGACCTGGTTTAGATCTGGATTGGACCTGGATTTAGACCTGGTTTAGACCTGGATTGGACCTGGATTTAGATCTGGTTTAGACCTGGTTTAGACCTGGATTGGACCTGGATTTAGATCTGGTTTAGACCTGGATTAGACCTGGATTGGACCTGGATTTAGATCTGGTTTAGACCTGGTTTAGACCTGGTTTAGGCCTTATTTAGATCTGGTTTAGACCTGGTTTAGACCTGGTTTAGGCCTTATTTAGACCTGGTTTAGACCTGGATTGGACCTGGGTTTAGACCTTGTTTAGACCTGGTTTAGACCTGGATTGGACCTGGGTTTAGATCTGGTTTAGACCTGGATTAGACCTTTGAATTGTATTAAACTAATTGATTAATAAGCGCTTCACACTTCATTATTCATTCACTCAACACTCTGTACTCGCAGTGTAGCCACAGCTGCCCTGGGGCAGACTGACAGAAGTGCGGCTGCCAATCTGCACCATCGGCCCCTCCGACCACCAACTCACACACACTCCACTTTCATACTTGGCCATGTGGGGGAAGTGTTTTGCCTAAGGACACAACAACAGTTTTTGTGACTGGCGCCCCCCTGTGGCTCCTGATTTACCCAGTGTCTCCATCCAAGTCCAGACCAGGTCCAGACCCTCTGAGCCTCTGAGATCTGACGGGATCAGGCTTTGACAAACTGGATTAGACCTGGTTCAGACTGATGTCCTCGTTAGACCAAGTCTTGGTTTGGATTTCTCATAGTCCTCTCCTAGACCTGGTTTAGTTCTGGTTTAGTCCTGGATAAGTATTGTTTTAGAAATCTGAACCTTTTTCAGACCTGGTGTAGGCCTGGTTTAGTCCTGGTTCAGATCTGGTTCAGACCAGGTTAGACTTGGTTTGGACCTCGTTTAGACCTGGATTAGACCTGCATTTTCCTTAGACCGAGTTACTTTAGTCTTGGTCTGGATTTCTCATAGTCCTCTCTGCTAGACCTGGTTTGGACCTGGTTTAGACCTGAGTTAGTCCTGGATAAGTATTGTTTTAGAACTCTTAATCTTTTTCAGACCTGGTTTAGACCTGCATCCTCCTTAGACCGAGTTTCTCTAGTCTGGATTTTTTATAGTCCTCTCTTAGACCTGGTTTAGTTCTGGTTTAGTTCAGAGTTAGTATGTTTTAGGTCCTATTTTTAGACCTGGTTTAGACCTGGTTTAGACCTGCATCCTCCTTAGACCAAGTCACTTTAGTCTTGGTCTGGATTTCTCATAGTCCTCTCTTAGACCTGGTTTAGTTCTGGTTTAGTCCTGAGTTAGAGTTAGTACTCTTGCTGTAGGTCCTTATTTACACCTGCTCAGATCTGGGTTAGTCCTAATTTAGATCTGGTTTAGTTCTGGTTTAGACCCGCATCCTCCTGAGACTTTGTCACTTTGATCTTGGTTTAGATTTCTCATAGTTCGCTCTTAGACCTGGTTTAGATCTGTCTTAGACCTAGTTTATTTTCATACATGTTTAAGTCCTGGTTCAGATCTTGGTCAGTCCGTTTTGAGACCTGGTTTAGTCCTCGTTCAAACCCACATTAGTTCTGGTTCAGACCCAGCGTTTCTTAGTTCTGATGATACTTTATTACATTTTTGAGTATTTTTTTTTTTCTATTTAAAGGTTCACTCTGTAACTTTTTTGACCCATGACAAGCAGATGACGTAACCAGGTGAATTTACAGGTCAGATCTGTGGAGAGGCAAGCCTTCCTCATGAACACAGATCAGAATTTTACGCCAACCTGGAAGATTAGAGCAAATTTGTAGAGAGTCAGGATATGTTTTTTTTTTTGTTTTTCAGCAAAAACAAAACCAGAAATGAAAAACTAATTAAATAAAAAAAAAATAATAAAATAAAAAAACATGATGCTTTTTTTTCTTTGTGAACATACCGGGGTTTTAAGGAGAGATTTCGTTGCACTAAAATATTTCCTAATCACAAATTTTCCCATTTACATTTTTTTTTTTTTAAATTTATACTGTAATTTGTCCATAAAAGTTTTTATTTGATTTTTTTTCTGCTGTGAGGGCATTAAACTGGCCTAAAATATTTACTCAGGTTTATTTTTTGTGGCCTAAATTACGCCGTTTTGAAACTTTAAACATTTGTCCTTCAACGTCACTGGATCAAAAAACTGCAGTTCATATTTTTGACCAGCAGAGGGCGACATAAACTGATAGTACTGACTCCAAGTGAAACTGCTGAAGACTTAGACCTGGTTTATACCTGATTTAGTCCTGGTTTAGACCTGTAGTGTAGACCTAAGGTAGTCCTGGTTTAGTCCTGGTGTAGACCTGGTTTAGTCCTGGTTTAGTCCTGGTTTAGTCTTGGTTTAGTCCTGGTTTAGTCCTGGTTCAGTCCTGGTTTTAGTCCTGGTTTAGACCTGGTTTAATCCTGGTTTAGACCTGGTTTAGTCCTGGTTTAGTCCTGGTTTAGACCTGGTTTAATCCTGGTTTAGACCTGGTTTATCCTGGTCCTGGTTTAGTCCTGGTTTAGTCCTGGTTTAGACCTGGTTTAATCCTGGTTTAGTCCTAGTTTAATCCTGGTTTAGACCTGGTTTAATCCTGGTTTAGTCCTAGTTTAATCCTGGTTTAGTCCTGGTTTAGATCTGGTTTAGTCCTGGTTTAGTCCTAGTTTAATCCTGGTTTAGTCCTGGTTTACTCTTGGTTTAGTCCTGGTTTAACCTGGTTTAGTCCTGGTTTAGTCCTGGTTTAGTCCTGGTTTCCTGGTTTAGTTTACCTGGTTTAGTCCTGGTTTAGTCCTGGTTTAGTCCTGGTTTAGTCCTGGTTTAGACCTGGTTTAGTCCTGGTTTAATCCTGGTTTAGACCTGGTTTAGACCTGGTTTAGTCCTGGTTTAATCCTGGTTTAGACCTGGTTTAATCCTGGTTTTATCCTAGTTTAGTCCTGGTTTAGTCCTGGTTTAGTCCTGGTTTATTCCTGGTTTAGTCCTGGTTTAGACCTGGTTTAGACCTGGTTTAGTCCTGGTTTAGAGTTTAGACTCTAAACCTGTATCGAAACTCGACAAAACTCAAACACTGAACATTTATTTATAGTTTGTTTATTTCAGATTTTTGTTTAACCGCAAACACCTGTTCATCTAAAATGTTTTATCATGTGGTTTTTCTGAAGTATAAATAGGCCTGAACTAGAACTAGACCAAGACCAGACCAGACCTAGACCAGACCTAGATCAAGACCAGACCAGACCTAGACCAGAGCCTGGATCATGAAGACCGTGGCTCCTCTGCTGATCGTCGCTCTGCTCGTCTGCTTCTCAGGTAAAATTTTTTTATTTCTAGATTTGTAAATTATAAATCAAATAATACAAAATTTTAAACCAGGTCTAAACCAGGATTTAACCAAGTCTAAACCAGGACTAAACCAGATCTAAACCAGCTCTAAATCTCTGCTTTAGATCTGGTTTAGTCCTGGTTTAGTCCTGGTTTAGACCTGGTTTAGACCTGGTTTAGTCCTGGTTTAGACCTGGTTTAGTCCTGGTTTAGACCTGGTTTAGTAATGGTTTAGTCCTGGTTTAGACCTGGTTTAGTCCTGGTTTAGTCCTGGTTTAGTCCTTGTTTAGTCCTGGTTTAGTCCTGGTTTAGACCTGGTTTAGTCCTTGTTTAGTCCTGGTTTAGTCCTTCTTTAGTCCTGGTTTAGTCCT